ATAGGCTTTAGTCTACTCAAGCCGTGTGATTCCATCATCTACGAATAGACGCTATCTAAGCCTTCATTTATTCCATCCACGAGTCTACCTAAGCCTTTAGCTGTCCAACCTAGAGTAGGCTCGAGCATACTCAGGACTTGTGACCCCTTCGTTCATGGTCATGTTACAAAAGTGACATGAACGATATAGTTAATAAATTATTGTTCATGTATGCCTATTTTGTTTAGTTACATATTAATGTCTAATTAAACTTCATTTTCTATTTTGTCGGTATATTTTGATAAACCACTGTGAAATGAGTAGTAAAATAAATTCCACATAATTATGTTTTTTTAAGAATATATATCACTTAGAGGAAATTTTGTCATCAGTAACTTAGTACAAGAACATAACAAGTGATTAGACGAACGAAAACTTCAGTTTTCTTTGAGAGAAGACCACTAATCCATTTTCTGATTTCAATAAACATCTTCTGATTTTTCTCCTGATTTTTCAGTAAAAATTCCCTGGTAAACTCCTGATTTTTCGCAAAAAACTCCTGATTTTTGAAATTTGGATTTGGCAGCCCTGTACACTTGCATTCTTCTAATTATATGCTTTCACTTATATACTATCGTTAGAACATTTTTCTTCACTCTAAAAAACAGTTTCTATTCTACTTCGACGACGCTGCTACACCCATATGCTCACTCTTACATCTCTTCTCATTGACTCTCGTCTTGGATTATTTGATTGTATCAAGTTTTACCGTCGTACTATCTTGTTGTTCTTTCGATATATGATAATGTATTCGTGTTTTCTAATTACTATATGTCATTATGTAATGTTACATATCTAACCTAAAACGATTCACATTTATTTTACAAAACTTTCTTCTCATTGTACATTTATAGATTTATCCATAACGAGATAAACATATTTCTACCTTTATAATAAAAACGATTAATGTGAGGCTTAGAAATTTACGATTTTAAAACAAAGCGAGCCAAATTGATAAACATACATTTCAGAACGGCTTTCGCGTTTCATCTTGCACGTTCATCTAAGAATTGTATTGTGAAATATTATACGCTTCATTGATGATAGAACTTATCTGATTTTCAATGATCGGATTGCTGCCGTAATAGCTGCTCTTGTACGTTTAGCATTTGGGAATTTTGTAAGACTTCCACTTTAATCATACATGAAGAATCATTCTAAGTCTTGCGAAAACATGGAGAGTACAATCTTAATCGATCTTTTCGTAAGATTGTATGAAAAATCTTGCATACATAAGATATTATACGATCATCTTATGTCTTGAAATCTATATTGCTAATCTTTAACCTTTCACAATGCTTCTTTTATGAGTTATTTGATATTTCTATGTCTACTTTCCTTACAAACACTGTTCCTTTCAAGCTAACCTCTTTTGAACTTACAGTTTTTTATTGTCATTTAATTTCTCTTCTAACCGAGAAAGCAAAACAAATGCATTCAAAAATGTGTTTTTGTCAGTGCCTTTTTTATACATAAGTTCTACATTGAGTGTGGATGTTGGCGAGGATGGAAGGATTGTATCTTCATTCTCACCCCCACACTCATCCACCCTTAATATGGAAATAAAAAGGAGGAAAATATTAACGAAGAACATAGAATAATCATCCTGAAAGAGATCTGTATATGACAAGAGAGATAGGTCACGTAGAGAAATACACTGATGACTTTCAGTGTCGTCACAATGGATTACGAGCCTCTCAATTCTTGAAAACTTTGTAGATAGAACCATTTTTTTCATCAGAAGTCCACGCACAACTCGACTGAATCGCTGAAAAAACTTGATTTCGCAATACAACCTCATTCAACTCAAAGATCGTTTCGTATACTTATTTTATTTCGTTTTCAAAACATGAACCTTTGCAAAGTTCATCAACATCCTAATCCATGAGCTGACTTCTTGGTTCTATGCACGTCTCCACAGTCAGTAGATATCAATGACTCAGTTTCATGCCAGATCTGAAGTAAAAATTAAGGATCACTAGTAATATTTCAAAATGTACTTTTGATGATCATTCATAATAACTAATACTTTTTTCGAAAAAAATGGGTGGGTGTGGGTGTAGGTGTGGGGTGTGGGGTGTGGGTGTGGGTGTGGGTAGGTGTGGGTGTGGGTGTGGGTATGAATAATAATTCACACCCACACCCACCCACACCCACACCCACACCCACACCCACACCCACACCCACACCCACCCACACCCACCCACACCCACACCCACCCACACCCACACCCACACCCACCCACACCCACACCCAATACCCATCACAGACCGTGACAGAGAACCTCTGGACCCATCACAGACCGTGACAGAGAACCTCTAGACCCATCACAGACCGTGACAGAGAACCTCTGGACCCATCACAGACCGTGACAGAGAAACGCCAATATCCATCAAAGACTGTGACAGAGAAACCCCAATACCCATCATAGACCGTGACAAAGAAACTCCAATATCCATCACAGACCGTGACAAAGAAACTCCAATACCCATCACAGACCGTGACAGAGAATCCTCAGAGACCGTCACAGACCGTCACAGAGAATCCTCAGAGACCGTCACAGACGGTGACAAAGAATATCTAAATCCGTCACAGACTGTTACAGAGAAACTGTAGTTGTGAAAGATCAAACACAAAAAACGATAAGCTAGAAATCTATCGTCAAGAAACGGAAGAAAACGAAGTCCATTTAATTAGTAACAGTAGGGCCATCGTGCTTCATATTTTTAATCCCGCAAGGGATTGCACTAACAGCTTTTTTAGAATGCTTGGTGACAAAATAAATGATTCATATTGAAATGAAGAACCACATAACAATTCAATAGTAATGAGATCTCTTTCTATTTTAGGTGTGCTTTAAAAGAACTTTTCATTCGCATTTGTTCTATTGTATTTGGAAAATATCTACATCTAGTTGGCAAAGCAGAAAATAGTCGATATCTTGAACAATGGAAGATTTCGGACATATATCAAACCAAACATATCAGATAACTGATATCCAGACCGATCTATTAAGACAATTGGAAAAATTACGCGAACAGTCTCCTGAACGCTTTCCAACACCAATTTATGTACTAGCTGCTGTTGATGAAACCGTGGATGATCAAGTGGAAGAAAGCTTCCGGCAGGCATTGACATATAGCGGGAAACGTATTATACTTATTCCTTACAATTCAGGAAATTTTCATTGGATTGGAATTATAATAAAATTCAATTCAAGCGAGCAGATTGAACAGTGTGAATTTATTGATCCTGTGAAAGGATCAGATTTTATTCCAAACAAATTACAGAAACACTTTACTAAAGTGTTCCCGAACTATATTCTACATTCAAGAACTGCTCTCCTGAATCACGAAGATCAATCAAAGAGTGCACTGCTAATCATTGCGAACTTATTATTAGCAGTCCAAGACGTCTCAAATAATACAATCGAAGGTAATCAATCGAATTTACAAGAGCTCGAAAAAACACTCAGTAGTGGTTTGGCAAAATGGAACATTTCAGATGCGACTAAACTCCAAGAAGAAATACAGGAAGCAGAAAGACAAATTCAGAAGTATGAAAAACAGGGAAGGAAAGAAGAAGCGAAGAAAGAAAATGAGTTTTTGATTGAATTGAAGGAGTTATTAAAACTCTCAGAAAAGATTGATAGTTTCACATCCGTGATCTCAAGTTCTGAAAACACGGCGAAGACTGAACTTCGCCAGCTGGAACAAACATTGGTCAGTGGTTTGGCAAAACGGAATATTTCAGATGCAACTAAACTCCCAGAAGAAATAAAGGAAGCAGAAAGACAAATTCAGAAGTTTGAAAAGCAGGGCAGAAAAGAAGAAGCAAAGAAGGAAAATGAGTTTTTGACTGAATTGAAGGAGTTATTGAAACTCTCAGAAAAGATTAATAGTCTCAGATCCATGATCCCAAGTTTTGAGAACACGAAAGAGACTGAACTCCGTCAGCTGAAGCAACTACTCAGTGCTGGTTTGACAAAGAGAAACATTTCAGATGTGACTAAACTCCCAGAGGAAATAAAGGAAGCAGAAAGACAAATTCAGAAGTTTGAAAAACAGGGAAGAAAAGAAGAAGTAAAGAAGGAAAATGAGTTTTTGACTGAATTGAAGGAATTACTTAAACTCTCGGAAAAGATTGATAGTTTCAGATCCATGATCTCAAGTTCTGAGAACACGAAAGAGACTGAACTCCGTCAGCTGAAGCAACTACTCAGTGCTGGTTTGGCAAAACGGAATATTTCAGATGCAACTAAACTCCAAGAAGAAATAAAGGAAGCAGAAAGACAAATTCAGAAGTTTGAAAAACAGGGAAGAAAAGAAGAAGCGAAGAAGGAAAATGAGTTTTTGACTGAATTGAAGGAATTACTAAAACTCTCAGAAAAGACTGATAGTCTCAGATCTGTGATTCCAAGTTTTGAGAATACGTATGAGACTGAAATCTACTACCTGTCCCAGAGTCAAAAATGTCCTGATAATACCGTTAGCATGACTACCAATGTCGAGAAAAAAACTTTAGAAAACCTTTATATTTTGCAGCAAGATTGCACTGTGATGCCTTGTTGTGCAGAGAAAAGTGTCACAGAACTTTTAGAACATTTTCAACGAATGTTACTACAAGGTAATTGGAAGTCTTCACAAAATCAAGACTCAGTAAATACAACTTTAAGCGAACTGAAGCGACAGATAGAAAAACAAGAATTGTTTTCGACGAAAATTCAGGAGACTTTGCAAGATTTAGAAAGATACGTACATAATCATGATGTTCCATCGATAGTACGCTCTCTAGGAGAACTTTTAACGAAAATTAGACCTTTACAGGTACAAGAGATAGAGCGACTTGTTGAAAAAGCGAAACATGCAGCTAAACTGATTCATGGTAAAGAAATAATTCTTTTGATGGGCGAGACTGGAACCGGAAAATCAACTACAATTCAGTTCCTTGCAGGTTCTAAAATGAAAAAGACTCAAATAGAAGTTGAGCTTGGAAGATTCTTAGAACATATTACAACAGATGGACCTATAACTAATCCTGGGTTGAAAAATGTGACAAGTAGTGCACGAAATAAGTCAGAAACTCGTTACATTGCACCGGTTACAATTCAGTTGAAAGATATTTTTGGTCCTTATGAATTGGGAGAAATCATTTTATGTGATGCACCAGGCTTTGGTGACACAGCAGGTCCGGAGGTTGATATAGCTAATAGTGTAGGAGTTATCGAAGCTATTAAAGGATGTAAGAGTGTCAAAATACTTGCTCTATCAAGTTATAAAAGCTTAGGTGATAGAGGACAAGGTATTCAGAAACTAGCACATTTACTAATTAACATGATACATGGAATTCAGGAGAGACTTAGTGCTATTTTTTATGTATTCACAAAATATCCTCCAAACATGGATATTTCTGCTTTGTTAATTGATATTAAAATTTCGAAAGTAGACACAGATCCTTTATTGCGATCGGATGATGCCTTTTTAACAGTATTGACAGATATGATCAATAAAACTAAGAAAGGTGCTGAGAATATTGATCCTGTTCGAGGAGATCCGAAAACCATTATTGAAAAATTGAAGAATATACGTGGTATTATGTATCCTGAAGAAGTTTTTCGATTTTCAATGAGTGAAGAAACACAAGCATGTATTGCAAATCAGGCACAAAGAGATAACTCAAATATCAAATGTGCGCTGAAACATAAAGACATTGATCTTGTAATGCATTACCTAAATAAGTTGAAAACTTTAAAAGATTTGTTAGAACACAGTACGGCTGGAGATGCTTATGAAGATGCTGTACGTTTTATAAATGAGAACACTATGGAATATTGTACAGGAGTAACGGAAAAATTCAATCGTTTGTTAGCTAGTCAAGATGGATTAGGACAGGAAGACGTTGATGAATACAAAAGTTCTTTTGAATATATTCGGCAAATCCAAAAATTGACAGAACATATAGGATCAAATCTAATGTCACCTGAATCATTGATGCAAAATATTTATTCCGAACTAGAGAAAAGGAGTCAAACTTTGACAGAAGAAGATTTAGATAGTTCATTAGTAGGAATTTATTTCAGTAATCTTTACATTTTGAAAAATACATTTAAACAACTTGAATCGTTTTACACTAAAAGTTGTATAAGTTTTGGAGAGCGTTTCGAAAAACTAGTACAACCTGTATATGAACCTATTTCTGTCAATGAATTCAACAAGATAGCTGATATTATTCTTAAAATATCGAAATGTTTGCCGCTTCTAAACAATCATTTGCATGGGCTAGTCGAAGAAAAATATAAAGAAATCGTCCAATGGTTCTTGCAACATATGGATAAGTTCTCAGAAAGAGCTGAGCCTATTTTAGCAAAGATTAGATTAAATGAAAATGAAGTCGAAATCGTCAAAAATTGTGTGAAAACACTAAGATTAGCAAAAGAAAATTCTGCACTTGAGGATCGTATTGCAACATATATTGAAATGTTGAAAAAGAAAAATGATAAATTAGCAGAAAATGTGAAAAGTTTAAGTGACATTTATAATTCATTGATTGATAAAATATTAAACTATTTTCATGGAATAAATAATATGATTCCAGAGCATTTTCAAAATAATGGAGATCGTGCTCTAGAAGATGTAGAAACATTAGTCAATGCTATGGATACAATTAGAACTATTCCAGAAATTGAATCAAAAACTGCTGGAGCATATTATCGTACTGTTGAAAGCATACGTGGACATATGCATCAACTTCAACGAGATGTAGAACAATTACTTCTTTCTATTGATCCTAAATCAGGAACTTCTAATTATGGAAAAATTGCACGATTATTATCACGTTTGAAAAATGCAAAATGGATGAATCGTATTAGTCCAGGAGCATATGATGTTTCAATAAATCGTGTAACAGAAGAATTAATTCAATATTTCCATGAATTAGAAGATAGTTTGATAAAATTAGATTTAAGTTTCAAATATCCTGAAAATGTTTGTAAAGCACAAGAAATTTTTGATAAAATTGAATCTTTAAGTGTTTTAGAACGTAGTGTTCCAGAATTAAAAAAATCTAAAGATGAGATGATTCAACGTTTTCTAGACTATGTACAAGGAAATTTTAAGCGTATACAAGATAAGTTTAATTTACAAGATATAAATGTTTATCAAATGAAACAAGACCTAAAAGACCTTGAACAAATAAAACGAGAATATGATAATCTACATCCAGCTTGTGTCTTTTTAAGAAAACATGATTTTTCAGATATAAAGAAATTAAATGATGAAATTCATGATCTAGAAGAAAAACATAAAATAGAACATGAACAAGAAACACAAAGAAAATTTAAAATAGAATCAGAATTAAATGGTTTAAAATCGATTATTCAACAATTTGATAATGAGCGTCGCGCAAAGATAGATTCTAATTCAAATGAATATACCAATATTGATATACTACGTGAAACTCTTGTAAAAACAGAGGAACGTCTTGCTGATCAATTGGAAAGTATTCAAGAACTACAGACAAAATATAATAATACTTTACATCCGTTACAATCAATTAAAAAAGAATATGAATCTTTGCTTAATACACAAGATTGTTCTCCTGAACAAATAAGTTTTCTTCAAGAGAAAAGACATAATAGTATTGATTCATTAAATAAAATCATAGAAGATAAGAAAAATATTATTTCGGAACGTCAGAAAAATAAACAATTATATGATTTTAATAATAGATTTGACGCATCTACAGCCGATATCGCATTATTATATACAAATAATTGTAGAAAAATAGCTAATGTTCGTTTAAAAGAAATTGCAACTGATACTTATGATATATTGGAAAAATATATTAAGGAATATGGATTTTTTCTTGATCAGGAAATCGACAGATTATTTAAATATTTGACTAATATTAGTTCTCAAGACGAACTATCTCAATATTCGCAAAATTTAGAAACACGTCTAGAACAATTATCTACTCTAACTGAATTCAAACGTGTTTTTGAATGTATTGAAGGTGCTAAAAAAGTAGAATATTGGCGTCGAAAATTTAATGAACAGTATCGTATTATGAGTGGTGTCATGGAAGAATATCATGTTTCTGGAAGAACTAAAGAGTTAAGAGAACAGTTAGCCATTGCACAGAGACTGATCGGATCAGATCACTTCTGTGGAGTCGCACTTTCATCTAATGGGTTTGGAGATTTATATAGACAGTATCAGGTTGAAGCAACCAAGGAAACTAAACAAGCTTCGAAAATTGTGTCGGATTACATAGTTGCAGGAGATTATGCAAATGCAAATAATGCACTTGCAGATATTGATGAGAGAACGTCTAATCCGAGAGATATTAATCAGATTAAGCATGATTTGAACACTTCTTTAGATCGTTTAATGCAAAGTACTCGTAGGATTGTCAATGCTCTAGATTCGAAATTTGATTTAACGAAAAATAATGAAAGTCAGACAAGTGACATCAATGAAAATATCGAAAAAATTCGTACTGTTTTGAAGCAGCCACGAATAATGGGATTGATTCAAGAAAACACCAAATCTGATTTGATCAATTTTGAAGAATTTATCAAAACACTTTTGTCTTCAACGCTTTTGAAGGAACTCTATTCTATTGAAGATCTTATGAATTCTAATGATGCTTTCGAGGCTGAACAAAGGATGGAAAATTTTAATCGCGTACAACATGAGTTAGTAAATGACTTTACGATGAAAGATGTTACTGAAAAAGTGAATGAAGTAAGAAAAAGATTGAATAATTTAGCTAATGATATTTTAGAACAAAATGACTTTAGAAATATTGAAAACTACGCCAAGAAATCACCAAGAGATCTTTTAGCTAAATTAGAAAAAGCTGCTTCCTATCGTAGTGCAAAATATAGTCCAGTTATTTCGTCTATATCAGAAGATATTCGAGTATATTTTGAAGGAGCTATAAAGAATGCATGTGAAGCTTCAATAGATAAGCGTTCTGCTCAAATGCTTCCATTACAAGCTGCATTAAGATTTTTACCAGACAATTCTCAAAAGTTATTGAAATCACAAATTGATGAACTTATTAATAAATTCATTGAAGATGAAAGAGCATATAAACGTGAGTTAAAAGGATATCTTGAAAAGGAAACTACAGATGATTCAACCATTCAAAGGATAGGTGAACTTGCATTGCAATATACAGAAGAAAGACGACATGAATCTTTTGAAATTTTACGTGATGGACTTATTAGAAAGTTAGATAATCATTGGAAAAATATACAAGACGCATTAGATAAGGAAGATACGCAATCTGCTACTAATAATATGAGACAAATTATCAAATATAAAGAATATGTACAGAATATTCCAGAAGTAAATGAATTTTATAAAAATGTTTGTAGTTTAATAAGTACAGGCGTTAACAAAAATGTGGAACCTCTCAATAACATATTCAAAATTGAGCAAGTACAAATAGTTGACCAAGCTTTTAGTAATATGATAGTATACATCAAGTTTAGTAAAGAGTTTCCTAAAAGAACTCACGAATTACTACCCGAATCTGAGTCGCAAAATGTAGAAATCAGACTTAAGAATCTGTACGATAATTGGCATAATATTTCTAATATATGTCAAACTGCTATAACCGAGCTGAATATTAAGTCACTACATGAAGTAATGTGTATAATGGAACGTTGGGATGGATTTTTACACAAAATTAGAACTTGCCCTTTTCGAGATAGTTTAATACAACCATTTTTAGACAACATGAGAAATATAAAATCTTATTCGGAAATGATTTCTGAATTAGAGAAAAAGATAATTGATTTGAAACAAAATTTAGATGTTGAACTCATTAGTGATCAAAGAACACGATTTGAAGCAATGCGTGATCAATTTTTCGGTAATCTTGCGATGTCTCTTAAGGTATTGAAATTGATTAGTTCAGAATTTAAAAATACTTTATCATTATCAATACCAAATATTGAAAAAATAGAGAATGAGCTCAAAGAGAAAGTCGAAGATATTAAGAAAAAACTTCTTGCGTATGCATCACAAGATAAACATTCGCAGTTAGACGCAGATTATTTTCGTATGTATTACAATTATCTTGTATCATTTGATAAATATATACGTCTTTCCGAAGCAGAAATTCGACATTGTTTAGAATTAGCAGAAGCAAAAGTTTTCGAAAAAGTAACATCTTTATCTAAAGATATTACAGGTTCAATTTCTGATGTTACAAAAATCGCTGAATTGCTTGAAAAGATAAAATTTTTTGCTGAAAATTTTTCGATGTTTGACACTAAAATCAATGGAATAATAGATGAAGTTTTAAAATCATACAGGACACAACAGGGTCCTTTGGTTCTTTCACAATTGACTATGATATTAGAAAAAACCGATGTAGGTTCTCGATTAATTGCTGAGCATTCGTGTTTAAGCGGAGAAGATTGGAGAAAACGACGCGAAAAAATGCAAAAACAAGATGATCTGGAGTATGTTCTAAGAGAATTAGAAGGAGATGATCTTGCTACAGATGTTCTGAGTTCGCGTTATAAAGCTTTCAGACGAATGTATGATGAATTGATATCGAAAATTTTAGGATCGTTTAATCCAAAGACTGAAACAGAACCAAATATAGAAGTATTAATTACACAAACAAAAATTCTTCTTGGAACAGTAGCTCAAAAAGCAAATGAAGTTACTTGGGATCATTCCTTTCGAGATAAGATTCCTGAACTGTTAGCACATATTTTTGCTGTATGGACTTTGAAAAATACTCAACATTATAATGCTATGCGTGGTATTGATGCAGCAAATCTTTATCTATTAATGCCACATATTGCACAAGTTATTTCTATTTTTCGTATTCTTGGCATTGGATACAGAAAGAACCCGACAGTTTTCGGACATCGTGTACCTTTCATTAAAAGAATATCTGATGATTTGATAAATAATTTAGTACAAATAGGGACAGGTGAAGGAAAATCAGTAGTTATGGCAGTTACTGCCTGTGTTTTTGCTCTTATTGGAATCGATGTTGATTGTTCATGCTATAGTGAATATTTAAGTATGCGGGATAAAAATGATTTTGCTCCAGTATTTCGAGCGCTTGGAATCGAAGAACGTATTCAGTATGGCACTTTCAATAAATTGTGTGAAAACTTCTTGAATGAGCAATGTAATATACGAGAAAAAATGCATGATATGATCATGAATAATAAGAATCTAATAGATGTAATTCAAAGGACTACACGTATCCGTCCGAAAGTGTTGTTGATTGATGAAGTAGATGTTTTTCTAAGTGAAAAATATTATGGTGGAATGTATATACCTTCGGTATATTTAAAGGATCCATTGATAAAAAATTTGTTAGACACATTATGGAAAGATAGAAATTTACATACATTGAGTGCTATCAAAGCCTTGCCAGCATACAAAGCTTGTGCTACTCGATTTAGTAACTGGATTTTTCTTTTCGATGAAGCCATCAAAGATATGTTGACTGCTTTAAAATCATTTCAATCATCAACATATATTGTACAAAATGATAAAATTGTCTATGTCGAAGGTGAATCCGTTGTAGAAAATGTAGTTCATGGTTATGATACCATTTGGGCATACTATTATGAGAATCAAAAAGGTTTTATTAGTCAAAATAGTTTGGAAAAAAATGTAGGCATTATCATTAATTGTGGAACATTTTCTTACGCTGAAATGCCTCATGAATTTGCTTATATCACAGGAGTCACTGGTACTCTGAAAACACTTGCTGAGTCAGAAAAAAATATTTTGAAAACGGTTTATTACATAGATAAGAACACTTATATGCCATCAGTTTTTGGAAAAAGTAACCGTAATTACAATTCTGCTAATGATGTACAAGTAGTGAATGTATCAGAATATTTTATGAGAATTCGTGGAGAAATTGATACGATGCGCAATGCACAACGTGCTATTCTTGTATTTTTCGAATCAGAAGAAAAGTTACTAGCATTTTACAATTCTCCAGAATTGTCATCCTTAAAACAGAATGTGCAAATCATTACTGAGAAAGTTTCAACCAAAGAAAGAGAACTATGTATTAAACGTGCAGCAACTGAGGGTAGAGTTACACTATTGACTAGAACATTTGGACGTGGAACTGATTTCATATGTCGAAATCAACAAGTGTTAGCTAATGGCGGTATTCATGTACTGCAAACATTTTTTTCCGAAGAACTATCAGAAGAATATCAAATAATGGGAAGAGGAGCTCGGCAAGGAGATCGTGGTTCATATAGAATATTATTATTAGATAGCGATTTAGAATGGGTTCTTGGCGCTGATTGGGAGGACCGAATTCCCACTATAACAGGCTCTACTCTTTATGCGGCTTTAGATAAAGACCGTAATATGCTTTATGAAAGTAAATGTGCTGCGAAACAAGTTGGTATAGAACAATGTAAACGTGAGCATCAAGCTTCTAGAAATTTTATGAAAGCATTGTCTGAAGGAGACATAAATACTGTCAAAATGTTTTTGATTGAACAAAATCGTGGAGTGAACACAGTTTCAGAAATTTCGCGTACAGTTCTACTTATGGATGCAACAGGCTCTATGTCAAATTTATTATCTGCTACCAAAGACACTGTTTGTACAATGTTTGAGCGTGCTTCAGTTGTTTTAGAGGAAAAAGGATTATCAAAAGATTCATTCTCAATGCAATTTGCTATATATCGGAACTACAATTCTAGAGAGAATAAGATTTTGGAAGTTTCATCTTGGGAGACAAAAGGTAGTAATTTACGGGCATTTATGAACAGAATTGGTCCTGAAGGTGGATGGGGAGCGGAAGCAATTGAAGTAGGATTATGGCATGCAGTTAAAGAAAGCGAAACACAAGACGGGATTTCTCAAGTTATTTTGATAGGAGATGCTCCACCGAATACTAAAACTGATGTAACTAAGAAACGAGCTGAATTCGGTGAACATTATTGGAAGAAGACCAGATTTGCTATATCAACATATTATGAAGATGAGTTAGAAACGTTAAAAAGTGAAAATATTCCTGTCCATGCATTTTATCTTACTAATTATGCAAAAGATAATTTTCAAAAAATTGCAAAAGAGACAGAAGGACGATGTGAGCCTCTGAATATTCATTCAGTCGAGGGTGCCGAATTACTGACCAACTATGTTACAGAAGAAGTCCTTAGAAAAGCAGCTGGAGATCAAGGAGATGTTGTAGTAGCACTATATAGAGAGAAATACGTGAAGAAAACGTTTACATCTTAAAGATAATCGACAAAAACATTCATGTATTACTTTTTGTCCTAAGTATGTCGAGCCCTTATTTCGAATTAATTTAACATGAATTTTTCAAGAAGTAAAATACCAATAACTGTAGTCTCCCTTTTTTTTGCATGGAATATTTTTGAACTTATTATATAACCATATGAAAAAGATCTCAATTCATGATCCACACCCACTTTCACTTTCGTTGTTCCTTTATTCTTTGTATTCGTGTGTTGTCTCAAATTGCTGCTTGTTTTTTCAACGTAATATGTCAACTTTTTGTTTTGTGTTTCTATTGTATCGTTGATTGAACTAACTTATTTTATTAATCTTATCTTTACTCTAACCCATTTTATTTGTATTAACATTATTTTTATCCAATTTTTTTCTGTATTTTTATCCTTTAAAATATTCAAAGATTTTCTTCCTAGTCCTTTTTATTTAATCTTGATCATTATCTTCAATAAATTTAATGGACTATAAGAACACATTTTGATAGAAAAAATGAAAAGACTATAAAAGCACAAGTGTTGACTATTTTTTTTAACTTGTACCTTATCAAATCGACGACATTTTTATTTACATGAATCAGTCGAACCAACAAGCCCATAGTGGAAGGGTTGAGCAATCGGAATATAACTGATATGAGAAATTAGCGTTGCTAGTTATTCAATATGAAATAATGAATGACAAAGAGCGTTTATTATCCTATATTTCTTATTATATAGATATATTTTTTTCACTCAGTAAAGAGTTTCGATTGGTACCATTTGCTGCCAATTAGATTCCTTCTATAGTAATTTTCTGATACTCTATGATGGTGATTATATTTTTCAATAAAAATCCCTTCATTGATACTCAACATCATGTGTTAACGATTGACGTGACTATTTGGCTCATGTAAATGTACTTAGGTCTGACCAAAAGTTCGTGCACCATTAAATAAAAATATAAAGATAAGAAGATATTTGTAATTTTATTTTATCAAATATTGAGGATAGTTGCCATTATTATTTATACCAAGTTCGATCCTTTCTAACAATTTGTTTAAAGTTTTTTTGAAGTCTTTTTTGAAAAAATTTTTACGTACCTTGGAAACCGCATGAACTAATCATATTTCATTTGTTTTAAAAATTTAGCGAATTTTTGTTCGATCATGTCACTTGCGCTCTAGCATTACTAGTGATGGGATATGGATTTATATTATATAGGTTAGTCATAAGTCCTCTGATGCTAGCTGGCCGATTGACGATGAGTCGTCAAAGACTATTGTTCATGGAGGCAGATTTGAACCAAAACTTGGTTCCGTATATTCTTTAAATCAAATAGTCTTGTTTTTATACATAGTGTAGATAAAGGCAAGACTGTAGGTCGGGTATTACTAATTTATGCTAACACCACAAACACCCAACTTTGTAAAAACGCATATGGGTCATCTTCACTAACACCCACAACTTGCAGAGTTATGTGCACAAACACCCACTAACACCCACTTTGTCCGACTCCTAGAAAAAATAAACCGTCAACAAAGACAAAAAAATGACCCCCTTCAACACTAACACCCAAAATCTCACTTATAGTCAATACAAACACCCCAAGTTGTCTTCACTAACACCCACAGAACTCAATAATCTACATTCTGACCCGAATAAGTGCTATCCCCGAATAACTTTTT